ATGTGCACACATTTTCTGCTTTTCCAAGTCCAGTGGCTTCCCACGTTATCCGTGTCACAGCCAGAGGGGGATGCCGTCTGATGAGTGCGTTCAGTTGGGTAAATACTGGGATGTTAGGACACTCTGGTAGTTTATGGAAAGACTGGGTTAGAGTATTAAAACTGTGACCACAGCAGAACAGCCCAGGAGCATCCCATTATGAGCAAATATGATCATGAGATCACACTTTCCTCTGGATTCTGACATTTGATATTTGCCAAGATTGACTATGTCTCCTTCTAAAATCAAACCCAAATTTGGAAAAGCTAAGATAATTTGCAAGTTGTGTTAGTTTTTGCTCAGAGAGATAAATGTCTAACTTTTGGTCTTCCAGATGTAAATATTCCCCTTGAACTAGGTGAAATGTTTATGTTAAGCATGTTTTTTTCTTTTAAAAATTTTAATAAATCATTTAATTGGGGGCTCTTACAGCTCTTATAACAATCCATACATCAACTGTGTCAAGCACATTTGTACATATATTACCATCATCATTTCTAAAACATTTTCTATTTACTTGACCCCTTGGTATCAGCTCCTCTTTTTCCCCTCCCCCCCACCCTCGTGAACCCTTGATAAATGATAAATTATTATTTTCATATCTTATACCATAACTGTCTCCCTTCACCCATGTTTCTGTTGTTCATCCTCCAATGTGTGGGTGTGGGTGTTGTAGGTCGATCAATGTGATCTACTCCCCATTGTCAATCATGTTTTTACTGGGGGGCAAGCCTCAGGGTCAAATGGAAGGCATTGAAATATGAAAATGGAGGTTGCTTTTGGTTTAAGAGCCCAGTTACCACTGATAAGTCAAACACCTCATGGCTGTATGGCCACAGGGACCTTGGCATTGGGATACAAGTCCACATGTGTCATGTTTACTACCAGTTTATCAGCTAGAGTAGAAGCTACTCAGAAGACCATAATTCAATGACCTAGAAAGAAAGTACAGTCTTACATACGTGATAACATGAAAGCCTTCATGGGGTCTGTGATTAACACCTCCAACTGGAAGACCACAGTCAATGCAATAGCTCTGCTGCATCGGCATGCCGCACTGGGGTAGACACAGATGTGAGTCACACTCCGTTTAGGAGCTGGTTACGTTTTATGCACAAATCTATCATGTCAACAAACACATTCTTATCACAGGAGGGAGGGAGTGCCACCAGGTTTGCTTATTGTATATGAGGCAGGCAGAAAGGACACATACTCTGCAAATTACACAAGACAATGACAAATTTGGATTAAAAAAAAAGTTGATTTAAGGTTTCTTTCCAATAGAGTGATACATTATAGACAAATGTATAGGTTCAGACTTCTTTTCTTCTATTAGTCCCAGCTCCCTACCTCCATACCTAGTTTAGTAGTCTTTAGTGCTTTGTTCACTAAACTGGAGCACTCCAAACTTATTTCTTTAACTCCACGAAGACTTTTTATTCAGTAATAATAATAATTAAAAGATTAATGCTTCCAAAGGCTCACTTCTCTCCAAATCAGATTGTGTACTACTGCACACATGGATCACAGCCCGTAGCCAACTTACAGTAACAACCGCGGACTCTCAGACCATTGGATTTCAGAGCAAGGACAAGCCTTTTTTTTTTAGATTACAAGATCATTTTATTGGGGCTGTTACAGCTCTTATAACAATACCTACATTAATCTTATCAAACATATTTGTACATATGTTACCATCATTATTTTCTAAATATTTACTTTCTATTTGAGCCTTTGGTATCAGCCCCTCGTTTTTCCTTCCCTCCTTCTTGATCCCCTTGATAAATGATAAATTATTATTTTCATACCTTATATCAACCAACCACTGTCTCCCTTCCCCCATGGTTTCTGCTGTTCATCCCCGTGTGTGGGGTGTGTGTGTGGGTGTGTGTTGATCATTGCGATCAGTTCCCCTTTCCTCCTCTCTTCTCCCCACCTTTCCCCTGCCTTCTTGGTCTCGCTACGCTCATTCCTGTTCCTGGTTTCCATGTGTCGTGAGCTCTTATCTCTTATCTGTACCTGTGTACGTGCTCTGGTGTAGCCCCCCGTAAAAGGCAGGACTGGGGTCATGATAGTAGAGTGTGTGTGAGGAAGCCTCAAGGAACCAGAGGACTATTGTGTGTTTCATCAGTGCTTTACTGCGCCCTGGTTGACTCATCCCTTCCTTGTGACCATTCTGTGAGGGGATGTCCTATTGACTAAAGATGGGTTTGGGTCTCTGCTCCGACATCTCTCATTCTCAACAATAAGGTTTTTGTTTGTTTGGGGTCTTCTGATGCTGTTACCCGATCCCATCATGATCACACAGGCTAGTGTACTTTATGTGGGCTTCTTACTTCTCTGCTAGAGAGCCGCTTGCTTAACTTCAAGTCTTTAAGACCCCAGATGCTATATCTCTTGATAGTTAGGCACCATCCACTTTCTTTACTACATTTGCTTATGCACCCATTTTGTCTTCAGTGATCGTGCAGGGAGGGTGAGCATCACAGAATGCCAGGTTATTAGAACAAAATGTTCTTGCATTGAGGCAGGGCTTAAGCAGAGGCCCAGAGTCCACTACTTCAGTGTATTGCCATATAAATATGTGTACAAAGGCCAATACCTATTTTTTAAAATGAATTAATGTATTTACATATGTACACACCTATGTTTCTACCTCTATGCACAGTTTTGCTTCCTAGATCTTTCCTGTTTCCTTTTACCTTCCTCCTGCCTCACCATTACCTTCGCCCGTCTGCCTCTTAGTAATTCCTCTCAGCTAGATTGCTGTTGCTCCACCCACCCCTTCCAGGATCTCTATGTCTTCCTTGTTGTTGGTTTTAATTCCCTGGTTGTACCTCTGTCTATGGCGTTGTTTTCTCACCTCTCCGTTCCCCCACCTTCTCCTCCCCCCAAGTCCCTCCAGAACCGTCGGCCCCATGGCTTTCTCCTCGAGCTTGCTTCCCATGCCTGTCTTATACGGTAGACAAAACCAACAATGACAGAGACAAAACAAAAAGAAAACAAAAGATTGAATAAAAGGAGAAAAAAGATGACAATAAGAACTAGGGGGGGAAAAACCCAAACAAACAAAAAAGCATACATAAATCCAGGTCTAGGACAGGCTTTAGAAAGAACCTATTTCAGCCCCTCATCTCACAGACAGTGAAGTTCAGCAAGATGAGGTGTGCTTACATTCAGTTTCTCCATGGTTCCTGTTGACTCAATCAGAGAGCATGCTTGTGGTCACTACAGGAACAAGTCTGGATACTCTGGAGGAGGGGCCCTGGGCAAGATGCTGAGGGATTTGGATGTGAACATAAACCTACTTTACCCCTGTGGGTGTCCCCTTCCTGTAGTGTCTATCTACTCGCTGGGGGAAGTGATGCTGCCTGTGGTCTAGTCGACACTTTGTCATTCTCTGAGGACCTGTGAACTCATGCTGCAGTGGCAAGAAAGAGTGGCCAGCCATTGTTCTCAGCCAGCACCAATTCTGTTTCCTAGAGAACCTCTGGCAGTGTGTGTATATAGTTTTGGTTTTCGCATAGGAGAGGGGACAGAAGTACTGGTAGCAAGTTAAGGCCAGAGATGCTGCTAAATATTTCACAATACACAGGATAAAAGATGACCACAACAAAGAACCATCTAGTCCAAAATGCCCATTGTGCTAATTGAGAAACCCTGAGCTGGTCTGCTGGCTGCTCAGAACCTCACTGTGCAGATACCCTAGCACCACTGAGAGGTGTGGCTGGCATAGCTGGAACAGACCTCTGAATGAGTCGTTTTCTCCCCAATAACTAGGCCCTCATTATCCCTTCCTCAATCCGGTTATTTCACCAGACCCACAGGAGTCTGTTAGAGTCGCCAGGCCCGATCCCACACATCCAGACTCACCTCCCCTACAGCACACGGATGTCCTTGGGAACACGCTGTTAGAAGAACAAGAGGGTACACGTTAGCTCAGGAGGTTTATTGACCATGTTTAAAAAGAAAAGCTAACTGAAATAGTATATCGTGGATGTCCTGAGCACGTTATGAGTAAAGGTAAATTACTTTGTTAGCTTGGGTATTGACTATTTGACATTATTGATCCTAGCTCAATAAATGTATGTTGTCGGGGGAAAATATCTCTGAGTTTAATTTCACAAAGAGAAATTAGATTAGAGGCTCACACCAGGGATTACTTTAAGGAAGATAGTATTTTTTTTTTTTTTAAGGAAGATAGTATTTTATACCCTTCTATTCTCTTTGAAAATTTTAACATCTTGAACATTTATTTATTTATTTATTTATTTTAAAACAACTTTTAAACCTAGTTAAAAAGGATTACTTATTCAGAGTAACAGCAAAATTGCTGTGAAATCATGAGTTGTATTATTCTTTTTTCTAGTTCTATACTTCAAAAGAGCTATCTTTGGATCAGACTTTTAGCTGTATTATACTCTGAAGGAACCTCTGATGTGGTCCCCAGCCTTCTCCTGAATGGTATATGTCAAGAAACTGTGTGCCCTGAGGGCTTCTTTCCTTGTGATTAAAAAAATAAATGGTTTAAACCATTCACAATCAGTAAAGGGCCAATTCCTGCAAGCCACTCAGGTTCTGCAAAGCTGCCAAAGGCAGCAGGAGGAAAGGTAACTGAATGGGACCTTCCCTCCTAAGCCAGTGGATCCCAAGTCTCAGTCAGTGATTGCTTCATGGGGCATGTCATTGCTCCTCAGAGTTGAGGGTGGTGTGAGTCCAGCATACTTACTATACCAGCGAACTCCTGTCAGACCTCCCCAATTCCTAGCTTGAGCCAGCAAATCATCAGGCATAGTTGGAAGAAAAGCATTCTGGGAGGAGAAAATACAAACAAACAAACAAAACCCCCACCAGCTAAGTGAGCTTTCGGATTGGCTGATACTGTTCAGTAAGAATCCGGAAGAAGGAAGAAGGTGAACTTCTGGCTTGCTTTCCCACTGCCCTCACAAACTTTGGTGGTCGAACAACCCTTTCACAGGGGTCCCCTGATTCATAACAGTAGCAAAGTGACAGTTATGAAGTAGCAACAAAAATAATTTGATGGTTGGGGGGGGGTCACTACAACATGAGAGACTGTATTAAAGGGTCGTGGCATTAGGAAGATTGAGAACCACTGCTCTAGAAGAGGAAGGTGTCCAGCCTCTGCATGCCTACACACACAGTCTCTAAAGTGACAAACGACTGCCATTTTGGCTGGGAAGGCCGACATAATCCACATCCAAGCCTTACCGCCATGTGGGCTGGGAAGAAGGCCAAGTTCCTCAGCGGTTCCAAGACTTTGTTCTGCACACAGAGAAGGATGGCTGCAGCATGGACAGCCATCTCTGCTACTGCTGCTTCAGGGCCCCCTTCATGGCTGTCTGTGGTCAGCAGAGGCAGAGTGTTGGCCACCAGGGCTGTTGCAAAACATCCAACTTCAGGAGAAAAGGGCTTGGTGTCTTCTATGAATCTGTTCACAGCTTCACATTGCTGACAGGAAAAATGTTTTATATGTTAAAGTATATTATGAGAATTCAAAGGTTTTCTTATAGCTAGCCATATATTTTATTTATTTATTAAATAGTTTTATTGGCATATACTTCATGTCTATACAATTTAATCATTCAATCATACTAAGATTTGTGCAATCATCAATACAATCAATTTCAGAATATTTTCTTCTCATATTCATTGCTGCTAGCTCCCTATTTCCCTGCTTTCTCCCTTGCCATGCCCCTATCCAGTTACTGCTCTAAACTACTCATACTGGACTTTATATACAGAAAATCACACAAAACAAAACACATTCATACAAAGTAAGCAAGCAAGCAAACCATACAACCAACAACGACTAGACAAAACATAGAAAAACCTCAGTCAAAAAGAAAATATTAGAAACTGAAACAAGTTTACAGTAGGTCAAAAGGGAGATCAAACGATGAGATAGTACATTTTAACCTAACTGCAATTGACTTTACAATGCTCTTCTGCAAGATACTCAGGCTGTTCACATCCCTCAACTATGGTCTGAGGGGATTCATGGGAGACTTCATCCATGTAGGGACCCTGAACATGGATTTTGGACTTCCACCATCATCCACAGCCTTCTGCAAACCAGGTGTTCCCAATTTAAACTCTGATAACTGGTTTTTCCTTCAGATTTGAATTTATTACCTAAAATTCTTGGATCTCATAGGCTGGTAATTTCTTTTTTTTGTTTTTTGTTTTTGGTGGCCCGTATGGGGATCGAAGCTGGTAATTTCTTACATGTGGACTTAGTTGAAGTTAGCCATACATTTTAAAATCAAACAGACATAACATTTCAAAGCAAATACACTAATTATCACCCATTTTGGAGGGGAAGTTCTTTTTTCTTCTTCTTCTTTTTTTTGTTTTTTTTTAGTGAGGCAGTAAGTGAGAGTGAGACAGTGAGAGAGTGAGACAGTGAGTGAGGGTGAGACAGTGAGCGAGTGAGACAGTAAGTGAGTCAATGAGGGAGGGAGGCAGTGAATGAGGGTGAGACAGGGAGTGAGTGTGACAGTGAGTGAATGAGTGAGACAGTGAGAGAGTGAGGCAGTGAGTGAGTGAGACAGTGAGAGAGTGAGAAAGTGAGGCAGTGAGTGAGGCAGTGAGTGAGTGAGACAGTGAGTGAGTGAGTGAGAGAGTAAGACAGTGAGTCGGGGGGAAGTTCTTTGTAGAAGAGAATTTTTATATAAAAACACCGCACCTATTTAATTAAGCACTAATTTTGAGATTATGTTTTAAGAAACATCACTTTATATTCCTATGTTCTTGATTTTAATTCTAAAAGCTTTGATTTAACAGAAGATAGTTTTTTTATCTAACATAGTTGGAAATGCCAAATCCTAAATTTAAGAAGTTATAGGCAACTGTGTATTTGTAGCTTTTACTACTATCAAAAAAAGTATGTCCAAATAATGAAACTGTGAACATAAGCCCCAATATTGATACTCACCTCAGGCTTAGGGTGTAGGCTTGCATTATGGGATCTGTACAAAACAGTTACTTCCTGGAAAAGTGCCAGCAGTAAGTAGACTTCATGTTGAATTTCTGGTTCCCTACAGGTCTGTGAGTTCAAAGATAAATTACATGAGTTTCTAAAAGTAATACAGGTCAATTATGTGACATGTATGTGGATGTGGATGTGGCTCAATCCCCAAGCTATATAACGGTGAAGGGAGCCTTTCCAAAGGCCCTGGGTCTCTCAGGCCTGGTCTTCAGAACCTTCTTACAAACATCTCTTGGATTACAAGGTTCATTCAATATTCTTACCCTAAGCTCAAAGCATACTTATTAGGTGATTATGACAGAAGTTCAACAAGTTTAAAATGTAGCATATAATCAGCAACTGATGGTATTGAAGGAAGAAGTCTAAGATACACTGAAGCCATTGGTAAAAAATAAGGCTCCAGGTATTGCTGGAATACCAATCAAATCTGGCAGCAAACTCCTGCAGTACTGTAGTCCTTTACTCATCTATGCCAAGAAACTCGGGAAACAGCACTCGGCCAACCAACTGTAAGAGTTTCGTATTTGTGCCCTTCCGACAAAAAGTGACCCAACAGGCTGTGGAAATTATCAAGCAATATCATTAATATAACATGCAAATATAATTCTGCTGGTAATTAACAAGTAGTTGTAGAAGTACATCAATAAGGAACTGCCAGAAATACATAACCGATTTAGAAGAGGATGTGGAACGAGGGACAGCATTGCTGATATCAGGTAAATCTTCACTGAAATCAGAGATACTAGAAGATGTTTGCTTATATTTTATTGACTGTACAAAGATATTCAGCTGTGTGGATCACAACAAACTATTGATAACCTTGAGAAAAAATAGAATTCCAGAACACTTAATCTTGCTCATGGGAACCTGTACCAATGCACACAGAACAAGAAGCTACTGAGTGATTTAGCATTGTGTCCTTTAACCATCCTTAGTAAATTATCCGAGAAGCCGGCCTCTACTCTAGGAAGATGGTAGCCTCAGGATTGGAGGAATCTTCATCAACCCCTACAATATACATATCTCACAATCATGCTTGCCGAAAATAACGAGGACTTGAAATGAAGTACTTATTGTTGATTAAAGACTACAGCCTTTAGTGTGTATTACACCTCAACATAAAACAAAAAATATAACAGAACCAATAAACAGCATCATTTTAACCTCCCCCCAAAAGAAATTGTCAATTATGTTCATTTTGGATATAATCCGTGTTCATGGAAACAGTAGTTGTGTTAGGCAGGGTTCACTAGAGAAACAAAACCAGGACACTTATGATTTTATATATATA